AATGCCGTCAAATCTGAGAACTGGAAAAGTCCTGTATGGTGAGAGATTTAAAAACACTTGCTGCCTTGCCAGGAGAGTATGCTTTTCTGTAGCCTTATCAAGCCACCGGGTGACTGAAGGACTGTGGAAATAAGTTGACTAAGATCTCTGAGCATAGCTGATAGGTTTGATAATATACCTGCCAGTAGTGTAAATTGATAAATGGAAGCGTAATGTTAACTTTTGAATAGGAATTGATGCTGGGTGTAGAAGTGTGGAAGCAAAAGTACAATTCATATGCTTTCATTTGGCATCTTCGTACTCGCTGGCTTATTTAGGTCTTACCCAAGTTTTCTCGCTGTGCATCTTGGATGTTAGTTCTGTCTCCCTTCCCCTGCCTCTTAGAAAATATTAGCCAGAAAATGTTTATCTTCGGCTTTAAAAAAAATCAGGGAATGCAGGGGTTAAATTAGCATTTATCATGAACTGTGCATCCATTATTGTGCTATGCTTGTGTTAGTTACTTCATTAATTCTGCATTGCAAAGGCAGTACATTTCTTTCCTTGCTAAATGAACTGCTTACTCTGACAGCCTAAACTTACTCTTATCATCTAGTTTAACTTCAGACCTTCCCGATTTGATTTTTTTTTTTTAACTTGTGGTCTAACTTGTATTTGTAGCCTAACAGAAGGAGCAAGGGCTCAATTAACTTCTAAGACTAATCTCAGTAAATAGTAGGAATTTGAATTCTCAAAGCCATGTGAAAGCTTACATAGTTTTCACAGCTGTGATACTGATTAATTAAGCACTTGATTCAAAAATGCTGTTAATCCATGTTAAACAAATTTTACTATGAGCTGGTATTTCAGACGGTATTTTATCTCTTAACAGCATCTGATGAATGAGGCGGAACATTCCATGGAAAGTGGAAAAAAATATGGCAGTGTGTGCCACAGAGTTGTAGTCTAGTTGCTATAAGCATCATTTTGTTTATGACTCATCACGATGACTTTCATATGGGAGCAGAATTAGAATTGTACATCCACCTTTTACTGGCATTTCATGATTTTTGAGGGTGTTTCTGTCTAACATGAATGTCCTCTGAATGTCTCACTCTATTTCCCTGCAGATTCCCTATAAAAAGAAAGGATTATAAACATTGGAAGGGGTTACTTTTGATCTCTGGCATATGGCTGGGTACTAAATTAACTATTTATATGAACCTCTGTGTTATTAAGAATATGTTCTCCTAGGCTGTCTAAATTTGCAGAGCCATAACAAGCAGCTGTAGGGTTGTTGTGTCACGCTGTCAATGGGAATGCTGCAGTCATTTCTGTTACTTGGTCTCAGAAAGAATACAGTGAAAGTAGTGGTAGTTTAGAAGCACAGTGGAGAGAAAACATTAAAAATGGATATTAAACAAAGCGGGGGGGGCGGGAATCAATTATTTCATATAGCGTTTTGTTCATGCTTAGCAAAGAGCACTCCCAACTTTTCGTCTTCCTGGCCAGGAGGATGTCACTGAAGTAAAATACTGAAACACTGCTAGTGTCAAATGCGATGTTCTCATTATCCATATAGATTTAACATTTTTTGAATCCATATTTGCCCACTAGAGGGCTGATTGCATCTTCTCCTTTAATATTTGATGTTGTCTGAGGCAGAATGCGAAGCCCTTAATTAAATGGATCATTTGTTCCCTTGAAAATGCCTGATACCACACAATACAAAACTCTGAAATGCAGCTTTCTGCTATATTCCACAGCTTTTTTTAACTCATAAGGCTCATGAATTTGTTAATGCTACATAATATTCTTGCCCTCTCAGGGCTGATGCTAATTAGATGATTGGAATATGAGTCCTTGCAAGACTTTCTTTTTAAATGTTGTTTGAAAAACAATACTGGAATGTCTGTAGCTGCTAAATTCAGACAAGAGTGGTTTGTTGGGGAGTAGGGGGGTGTTTTTTGCCAACAGATTTAACTTCCATTTTTATGCAAGTGCTGGAGAGGTTTTGAAATACGTTCTTTATAATTTTATTTTGAAAAGGGGAAAGGACGTTCAGTCTGTTTCTTTTCATAAAAGTTTATTTTAAGGAATTTCTGACCTGAAGGCAGATACCTGACAAGGCAAATAAGTAAAGGAACGGATGCACACAAGTTCTGGAAAATAAAGTAGATGGCTTTATGGCACTACAGTTTTAATGCATGGGACTACTTAGACTTGATGACATAGTAAACTTCATGAATTTTTCAGAACAGAATAGACTGTTAAAAATATATAGCCATGTGTACAGCACAGAAGAGATTAGTGCCCAGCATTCTATTTAAACTAGAGCAAAACTTTTAGAAAGGTATTTCTCACAGAAAGGTAGCTGGATTCTCAAAATATTGATTGTAGAGGCCAAGTGATTGAGACCATACTGTAGCCTCCGAGCATTGTTCCAAAGATGCATTATTCGCATGATTAGAAAGATCCTATCTCCTCTTGGATTTTTTTAACTTCTACTGTCAGTTATTGTTTCTCATTATACCTTTCTTTGCTCATAAAATAAGCCCCTAGTAATTGATATTTTTCTCCCTGCATAGATTTATATGGGTATTGACCAAGCTATCTTTAAAGCTTTTCCCCAAACCTAGATAGTCTGGTGAATCTTTACTGCGAAGCCAATTTTCCACATGCCAGCATTCTTTAAGTTTGCTGAACCTGTCTGAGTTTTTCAGTAATTGTTGGCTGTGTGGACTTCAGAATTGGACATGCTGTTGGCAAGAATAGTTGCACCATTCGTGTTTACAAAAATGATACCCGTTATTCCCCTTTGTTTTGGTTAGCCATATTAGCACAGCATCGCACTGGGAGCTTGTTCTCAATTGAATGGTTCCTTATCAGAGGACTGATATTGTGGAACAGAGTTCAATTGAGAGTAATGGAAGTAAGCATCTGCTGAGAAGGAATTTGATATAAAAGTCATGCTTGGGATTATGCTGTAATTGCTTGCATTAGCAGGGAACTGGACTTGGCAACTGAGAGGTATTTTTCAGTTCAGTATTCACCTCAAAGTTCTTTCTAATATTGCTGCTTTCAAGGATACAATCCTCATTCTGTAAGTATGACTTGGTTACTGTAAGATGCATATGCTGTATTCAAGTCTAGCTGTAAACATTTCGGAAAGTCTGGAACAAACTGCACAAGTTGTTCGGAGATAGTTGGGTTTATAAACCAAGAGCTACTTTTTAAAAAAGATGATTCTGATGTTCCTTTTTACTCCTCGTATCTCTAATAGAGGTAGGGATAAACAGCCAAATTGCTTCTGTTTGTTGATTCCAGGAGGGATTGTTGTGTGTGTGAGGGGGGATTTTATGTAAGGATTTATTTAGCTTACGTGTTGTTAGGGTTTGCAATTAAAGTGGATTAAGAGAAAGATGAAGGTAGGAAACATGAGAACAACTGTTAGAGATTATAATGAACTTAAAAGAACAATGATGCAGAGGAAAAAATGTTACAGCAGGTGTGTGGTAGAGCGCTTGCTAGGGAGGCATGGCTTCCAGTTAAACAGTTTAAAATCAAGCTGTTGCTTGGAAGGGCCTGTAGAAGTTAAGGTAGGTGCTGGATAAATATTGTCTACATTATGTACGCTGATCAGACTGCACACTTCATAAAGCTTCTGGCTCCAACGTAAATCATCACAATAGTAGATGTAATGAAGGATCCTCCTGGGAGGAGATGGATGTGGGGAAGAGCAGGATCAACTCTCTGTCGCTTGTAATACCTGCAGAGACTTTTGTCACTGAGTAGTTTTGTAAACACTTGTAAAACTTGAGGAAATTCCCAGACAAAAACATAAGTCAACCTGCTGCGAAGGTTGAATTCATGTTAGCCAGACTTCTTCTGGGTAGCATTTTTTTCTCTGAAATGTGACCTTGGAAGTTCCCAGTGTAGGTTCAGTTTTGTTTAATTGAAAAGTCTGCAAATGAAAAAGCTGAGTTCAGAGAAACCTTAACTCTGCCCCTTGGTTGGCACACGTTTGGAGAAAAAGGGGGGGGGGAAGTCCAGTAACTTGGATGCAGCTTCTATCTCTCTGTCAAATTATCAACCACAAAAGCTTTTACCATCTTGAATTGTAAAACAGTGCAAGCTTCTCTTAACAGCCTTGTGTCATGATGGAGGAACAGTTTTTAACAGCAGCATCCATAGCTGATAGATGCCAACTGCTTCTTCCTGTTCAAAGAGTCTGTGTGTTACCAAATACATTTCTGATGATTATGGGAACAGATGGATCCAAACTCCCAGACAAAACATTTTGCATCACGTCAGTAAGGTTGAAATTATGAAAGCCCATTAGACCAGTGAAATACCACATTTGATATCCAGAGTATCTTTGTGAGACCCACTAGGAAAACAGCACTGTTGTTGTTCTCAGCATTTTATATTCTAAATACTCGAGTGTCTTCTCCAAAAATGGGAGCAGAGTTAAGTGGTTTTGGTCATGACTGCTTTTGCAGACTTTGCAGTACATGGAATTAACTTTTATTATGAAGGTGAACCTTAACCTGGAATTTCCAGGTTTTCCAACCTTTTTTTGACTGAAATAAATCATAGATGAACAAAGTGGTTTTTGTCTGGGAATTTTTATTCCTGTCCCCTTCAGATTACTGTTGGAAAATTTCCAAAGTGCTGCCCTGTCTCCTTTGTAAGCCTAATAAATTAACCTCTTTGATTCTTCCAAACCTTTACTTGTCTGGCTGCAAGGTATTGTTTGGTCTCTTCTACCAGTTCCTAGCTTAAGTTTGTTCCCATGGGACTGGAGTACTTGCAGCCAAGCACAGTGTCCTGGGTAAAACCTCCCCAGAACCACATAGTGAGAAAATGTCCCTTCTTCACTCAGTGTGAAAGACCCCATCCCGTTAGAGTTGATACATATTGGGGCTTGCCCTCGTGTGACACTGTCTCTTCCCCTCGCCCCGGTCCCAGGTGCCGGATGTGTTCGCTGACCTTCTACTCCAAGTCGGAGATGCAGATCCACTCCAAGTCCCATACGGAGACAAAGCCACACAAGTGTCCTCACTGCTCCAAGAGCTTCGCCAACAGCTCCTACCTGGCCCAGCACATTCGCATCCACTCAGGGGCCAAGCCCTACACGTGCAGCTACTGCCAGAAGGCCTTCCGCCAGCTCTCCCACCTGCAGCAGCACACACGGTAAGGGCCAGAGGAGGCTGGGGGCCCTCCGCACTGCATGTTGCCGTCATCCCAGCATGCTGTGAGCACCCTCAGTGGGCGGCTGCCTGGGGAGACCTTGCTTTTTTCCGCAGGTTGGTCAGGTCTCGTACGTGACAACCCGGCAGTAGTGGTATCCGACACTCTGAGACTTGTCACTTGCTATGAGGGGCTGGGTGTGCACAGAGGTTAGCGCTGCTCACCCTAAGGGGTGTCTGCAATGGAGTGATGATTTATGACAGAAGGTAGGGCTGGTTGTGTCAGAGTGAGAGTAGAGTGGGTTAGGAGGACTGTTCCCTGTGACCCCAGTGTAGTTCTGCCAAACGTCTCAGTCCAGGCTTGCAGCCCCCCTGCTATTTCAGCCGTAGGCTTCCCACACACAGCTCTGCCAATGCCCCTCAGTCCAGACTCTATAGTTCCTCTCTCTGGATCCTCCCCCGGTGCGGACAGACCATGGTCTCTTGAATGCAAGGGGAGCACTGTTTGAGACTGAGCGAGCTCATGCCGAGTTTGGAGTTCCTCTGTGTAGCAGATAGCGGTGCTGTCCCACCCCCTTTGTGCCCTCATTCCATCAGCACTAGCCAGATGGCGGTCATGTCCAACTGCTGCTGCTCCTCCTCCTCTTCGGCAGGATCCACTCCAAGCTCCACACGGCGATTGTCAAGCCGCACAAGTGTCCTCACTGCTCCAAGAGCTT